GTGTTTGTTTTAATGCAATATAAAGTGTCTATTTCATATAAACGAGTTTCGTAAAGAGATTCTGGATGTGGGGAAGACTGAAGGCATGCTGGACATCCTTTAAATTTTAACACTGTATAAGCAATAAAGATTAAAACCGTGATACTTTTTTAAAATTAAATTGTTGCTTCAAATGTTTCGCAGTGTTACAATTTTCCAAGATTGTGTTGTCACACATTAATAACAGTATCTTGTCTGGTACGTTTTGCTGTCTAAGACTACAGGACAGGCTTTCTTTGATTCTTACATAGTAAAATTAGCATATGAAAGGACAGCGTGTTGGAAAAAGAGCAGTCAGGGTGAGCTAGCAAGCAGGTTGGTTGGGTTGGTATTTGAGGGCCACTCAAGCCAAGCTATTACTTTTCCAGAATTTTTCAGAAATTTACCAATAGATTTTATATTCTTCTGCCTCTTTTTGAAGTGAAGCTTTGAGCTGCTCAGAAAAAAAAAAAAAAAAAAAAAAAATTGAACAAAGTTAGAAAAGGGATTTTTTTTTTTTTTTGATGACACATGTCTTTTTGGAAGGCACGTGCTTAGGGGGAAACAGATGACTAAGGGAAACCTGAGCACAGTTTACAGGATGGACATGGTGTAGGTGTCACCCTCCACAGGTGGCCATTAGGACACAGTTGAGGCTCTTCTCTCTCGACCACACACCCCGACCACACCAAGTTATTTTCTATACCTGGGTGCATCTTCCTACCCTTTGCTGTTGAAGCTGGTTTTTACTGCATACAGTCGCAGACTCTCTCTCAGTGGGAGAAAACGAAAGTGGATCTCTGTGGTTTGGGTATTCCCCTCAGCAGAGGGGATACCTGCTTCCTGCCTAGTCAAGTGACTACCACGGTTAACGCACTTTTGAAACAGGAAAATACAGTATTTAATGGGCTAGTGACTTAAGCGCTCATCTGAGAGGTTGGAGTTTCGAGTTTGAGTCCCTGCTTTACATCAGGCAAGGAACTGGAACCACTCTTCAGTGGAGACAAATGCCCGGTCAAGTTTAAGCAGGCTGAGGAACATGTTTCCTCTCTCTCATGAAAATCCCATTATGATCCTAACCATCCATCTCAAAAAATTCTTCTGGGGAAAAAAAAAAAAAAAAAAAAAAAGGTTCAACTACAATATTTCATTCAACCATTTCACTTTAAAGAACTTCAAAATATCTGTGATCTGAACTGCTAAGCAAAAAAGAAGGTACCCAAAGAAGGTACGTAGAGGGTGATGGCTCCAGCATACCCTGAAAGTTCAAGCACCAGCACACATTCTAGTGTCACCTTTTTTTTTTTTTTTCCCAAATTGCCCTCGAGCCTATTTGCCCTTCTGCTGCTCGAGCCTATTTGCCCTTCCGCTGCAGGTAGGCAAGTTTTTTCTAGAAAAGCGTGGTTAGTACATCTGGAACTTTAGTCTCACTCGGGCCAGAAGCTGGCCACCTGAATTGCCCATGTAACCAAAACCAGACCAAAGTTTCACCAGTGAATTGACTGCTCTGTGTCCACACTCCATAACAGCAGTGTGATAGAAAATATGTTAAAGTTATTATTTAGTGAAGGGTAAAAATTCCCATCAAGAGAGTCTAATATACAATCCTATGCAAGTGTAATAGAAGTACCAGCTGCCAAAAAAATTGATTCTTCCTGGCTGAATCCCTTTAACCCTACAAAACAATTTCAGTTATTTCTACATAAATAATCTTTATGCATGGGGAGCAATGATAAACGGGAGATCACCGCACTGCCTCTTCCACCTTGAGAGCTGCGTGGGATGACTCTGCTTTTTCACACTCTTGCAATCAATAATGTAACATTTTGAATCCTGACAGAAAGGAAATTCAGCATCCAGCACGTACGGAGCAAAACACGGTCTCAAGGAATAACAAAACGCAATCACACCAACGAAGCGAGTGAAACACAAGGCAAACAGCATCTGCAACAAGAAACATCACAAACTGGAGTGCTGCAGCGAGCGGTAGTCACCAGGCTCCCCTCTCACCTGCGGAGCTGAGCAAAGAGCCTCTTAGTTAAGGCTCTGCACTGTGACTCAGGAGACTCAAAAGTCCTGTTTCTGCTTCTTCCTAAGTGAAGGAATGGCGGCGACTTTTCACGTCTTAAACGTTCGGTTTCCAGCAGCAGAAGGGACAGATGAGCGCAGCACATAAAAGAAATGCAGGTAACAGTACTCAGATCCAGAATTCTTAATGACTCCGCATGCCACTCTCCGCCTGGCCACAGACAAGCTCTACAACACACGAGACACCCTCCCGCTCCTTTACAGCCATACACCAACGTGCCGCCAGGCACTGCACGAAAGCAAGCCCTGCACGCTCTCAACGCAGGGGTATGAAGACCTCCATCGTGCTTTCTGAGCCGATACAAACTGCAGCATCAACACAAGAGTACGATACCGCTTGGCTTCTGTGTTTGAAGGCACAAGGCTGGCTGAGGAGCTGCCCCAGCGACGCACGGCTTCCTACATCGGCTTCGGCGCAGATGCTGCACAGGGGAAAAGCAAAGGCCCACACAGTGGCTACGGTCCCTTCTTCCCACTAATGAAACAGGGCCCACACGAGGGATACAGACATCCCTTCAGCACTCTACAGGTGACAAAGGTTATCTCATGTTCTGCATTTGCAAACAGACATTTTTTGACATGATTCTCCCAAAGCGCTTTTATTCCAAGCAAAGTGTGCAACAAAGTGAAACGAGGAAAAAAAAAATTGTGGTAAGAACAATACAAATAGAAAACAGGTCTCCAAACTTTCCACCAAAAAAGTTAAATCATTTAAAAAAAGAAGTCCAGAAACTATAAAGCACTATGTGAAAACCAAAATTCGTGCCACCAACACGCCATGCTCAGTTCTAACTATCATAAAAGCTGGTTTCAAAGTCACTAACGTTGCATTTGGTCTTACAAGATGTAGTCAGAAACTACACAGCACATAATTCAGCGTTTAATAACATGAATGGGATTCAGTTGAGATATTCTAACCATCTAGTGATGACTTTGATATTCTTTATTGAATAATTAACACCTTACCTGTAACACAGAAGCCTTCACTGAAATGATGTTCTTTACAGCAATCCCAGCCCTTAACTGGCAGCCTCTAATACTCCAATAGCTGACAAATTCTTCTGTATTTTACTAATAGTTAATGTTTACACATGCCAAAAGTGGAATTTGTACCGTAAAGTTAGGCTCAGCTGCCAATTTCAGTTCACGAAAGGACTGTTTAATAACACACTCCACTAAGCAATCATAATTGAGGCCAGTACTTTAAAATTCACTCTCCCTTTCAGAAATGTGGTATTATGAAATGATTAATGCTGTAATTGAGATTTATTCTGCGTTTCATAATAAATTATTGAAGACGTGCATGGTCATTTAAGTAATATATCCTAATGATTTATTACTTAAAGTTTTCCTACATATCTGTCAAATGACCATTAAAATACCAAAAAGAAAAGAGAAAAAACCCCTAGAGTTCAGTTGAAGCTTACAGTCACACTATAATATGCACCATGTAACCTTGCCCCAGCAAATACTGTTCTCTCATATTCCCTAAAGCCTTACCAAATGAAGCAAGCATCCATTTTCTGCACACCCTGCAGGTATCTCGCGCAGGCAGTACGATGCTGTCACACGACCGGACCTCTTTTAATAAGCCAAGGGACGGTTACAGAATCCAAACCCATGTATTTGGTGCTAAAGCCGTTCGAGCGTCACCTCAAGCACTGCAGGCACTGAGGAAGGTGCTGGCGGCAGCGGGTGTTCTCCCTGCAGCCAGCCAGCCCAGGCACCTGCCACCAGCCCTCACCCATCCAACGGCAGTCGGTGCCGCCAAGGGAACCGGGAAGCTCTTTCCAGGAGGGCTCGGGAAAACCCGCTGCTCTCCAGCTCATCTCCTGCTGCCAGAAAACGTACAAGCTGGCAAAACACAGTCAAAGACAGAGACAACCAAAATAACAGCATTCAAATCCTCCTCCCTGGCACTCTGCTACCACAGGCGTTCACCCTGTCCAACGGTGCCCCCGAAAAGATCTTTGCCACAAACTCTCCAGCACTGCTGTTTTCTGCTTCACCAAGAAAAGTCCTCCAGAGGGCCAACTTGGCCTACGCAGCCTCAGAGGTTTGCTCAGGGGAGACAAAAGCCCCGCACCTCTGGGGAAGCTGGGAATTTTGGTAAGCTGCTTCATTTAGTGAAACATTTCTTCTCCCTTACATAACTCAGCACAAGCAACACGGCACTGGAGGGAAGACTACTTCCATCCATGTGCGGACTATAGGCCAGTAATCATGCACGCCACAGCATTAAAAATATCAATAAAAGCTTTATAGTTTATTTAAGAGTTTAACCTTAAGAAAATCATGTTCCTGATGACATTGTCTGCCTTACCTGGCTGCTAGCTGGCAATACAGACAGAGTTTTACACAGATGAACATCTCACAAGTCAGTTGAGTTAGGAAACAAGGTTACCAACGTGCCAAAAGCCGTACCAACCGGGCGGCTTCTCTAATGCACCCTCGAGCCCAGTGCAGAGCCCTCCACAACCCGGAGCCAACAGCCCGGTACTACACTCGTATCCGTGCAGAAGATCCCTGTACCAGACAGCCCAAGTTACCGCCTTTAACGCACCCCACCCCAAAATTTAAAAAAAGAAAAAAGAAAAAAAACCACAAACAAAAAAGAGGGGAAGTTGCTTGCAGGATTGAGGCCAAACAGAAGACTATTTGGCGCGTTTATTGCCAGTTTCAGTCCCGACACAGACGGAGGAGCCAGACTTTGCTCTCCCCTTCCACACCTGAGGCACACGGGGAAGGAAAACGTTCATTGCCATTACAGGCACGGTGCTCTTTGCATCATGAGAAGCCGTGCATGTTTAAGACTTCCCCCCTTTCGGGAGCACAAAGTTATTTTTAAATTAGGCAGAAAAAACAAGTTGTGTGGCATTTTCTCAAAAGGCTACTTAGGTGTCTGCTGCTTCCTCATCTTCCAGAGCATCTACATGGTTATATTGTTTCCAGGCCTTTACATTACATTTTTTGAGAACGACTCCTAGTTGCTTCCCAGGCCCCACTTCGTACGTGTAAGGAAATTCTGTTCCTTGCTTTCTTTCGTATACAGAATGCATGGTCTGCTCCCACATCACAGGTGAAACCACCTGCTTCACTAACAGCTTCTGAATGTGCTTTGAGTGCATGTACTTTTTGCCATCAACATTGGAATAGACACAGACCAGGGGTTTCTGAATCTCAATTGATTTTAGGACTTCAGCCAATGGCTCTACTGCTGGTTCCATAAGTCTGGTATGAAAAGCCCCACTGACCGGAAGCATTTTTGTACGCGTAAAATAGTATTTTCGGGCATTCTCCTGCAAGAACTCCAAAGCCTATAAAAGAGAGAGAGAAGTGAGAGTCTTGCACTACAAAGGTTTTACTCAGTCACCCCACAAGAACCACCTCATCAGACCTACTGTGATAAAGGGATTCCT